AGGTGCTTTTTCACAGATTGAGTCCCCAGTATGTTGAGGAAAGAGGGTTGCCGGAAGTCCCCAGCTGGGACAGCAGGCCCTCGGATGCGTGAGCTGTACACCTTTGGTGCCCAGGGGATGGAAAGGGGAAACAGGGTGGTGACTAATGAGAGCTGCACAGCTGGCTTTTGAGGGCAGGTATGATGGCGACATGCTGAATGACTGGTAGCAGGAACTCAGCACTGTTGGTGTTTCCTGCGGTCATGATTCAGCTTACTGTAGAGAGGACGGAGTCCTTCCTTCTTCTCCCTTAGGCTGGGTAGCAGTTTAAGGAATTAGTTTCAGCTACTTCCTCAGTCTGATCATTTTAGTCATGAGCAAAGGGGCGTAAGGTGTATGATGTTCACATCTAAAAGCTAGGGGAGGCCAGGATGGTCTTGCAGTGCTTGTGCGCCATCATGAGGCAGGACCCTGCTCCAAGCATTGTCCTCCAGCCCAGCCCAACAGCCCCTGCCAGTGTGGCTGTGTCTCCTCCCAGCCCCTTTGGGAACAGCCTTGCCAGCTGGCTTCCAGAAGCATCGAGGCCAGGATATTTTTAGTTTACAGAGCAGTGGTATCCAGACCGTCAGGTTCCTGAGGCCATTAATAGCTCAGGTTAGGGAAGGGAAGGGACAGCGGTCCAAGAGGGCAGCAGCTGCTGAATTGGGTCAGGCCTATTGTCGCGCAGCAGGTCAGCTGCCTCTAGCAGGCAGGGATGTTTGTGAAAGGTGACTTCTCGGGTCTGCACTGAGGATCCTGGACACTGGGCAGTCTTGTTTTCTGTGCACCTTACCCAATCTGGCCTCTTTGGTCCCATTTTCAACCTTTGCCATATTTTTTTGTAGGGGTGGGTGGTGGGGTGGTAGTAACGACTTCAGGAATCTACTCCCAGTCCTACACTTCATTTTTCCTGAATCATACTGTCTTGAACTTCAAAACAGACTCCTTTCTTCATTCTAGTGGCTCAGTTTGGGGGCATAAGTTTGTGTGTCATAACTAATGCCACTTCCTATTTTGTAAACTTAACAGGAGTGGGAGATGTTGATGTAGCTGGAGCCAAGGGCAGTTTACTATGTAGTTGTGTATACTTTATTTGGTACAACATGATGTACCAGAATGTATGTAATATAGTAGGAATAACTACAAAAAATGTTTTACAAATGACATGTTTAGAAAAGAACTAGAAGGTCTTCAGCAAAAAATTTATTCTGTCATTATTAAATACCTGATTACTTTATTGATTCCATTAATGGTGCCTTAAAATATTTTAACACAATTCTGGGAACACTTCATCTTTCTGAACAGTACTAAGTCCTTGTACAAGGACACAATAAAAGTGGTTAGAAATGAATTTTCCTGAGAGTTGGCCCATATTAAATGACTTGTTTTTCTTAAGAAATTTTTAAAACCTATATTGATACATATTAAAAGTATATTAGGGAACACTTCCATTTCAGGAAAATGTTCATTCTTAGTATATTTCAAATTAGTAAAAAATTTAAGGTTTGATATAATATGGTTTGGGAAGTTAATTTGAGAGAAAGAGATAGTCAAGAGAAGTTAATTATATTTGACTTGGAAAACTTTGAAAGTATTGTTTTGAATTGTAAGCCAGAATTCACACTTTCAAAAATTGTACCTCTTAAAAGTTCTCATCACAAGAAAATGTGTGGTGATGTATGTTGACTTGTGGTGATCATTTTGTTATATATACAGATATTGTGTGTTCTCATCTGAAACTAAAAGAATGTTATGTCACGTATATCTCAATTTTTAAAAAAGATTGCATCTTACACTTGTATACTGCTTTATACTATTCAGATATGTTTTTCAGTTGTTACCAGAATAATGGTCACACTACTAACAAAAAGTTTTGAGCACATCCCACAGATATATACTTGTTTATAAACTATATATTTTGCTCTACCAAAATATGGTATACATTATAAAACACAGAGAAAGGTGACGGGGGGGGGGTAGAAATGAATTAAGCAAAGATGTTCTGATGTTTTCTCCCATGGTCTTTGAGGTGGGGTCACCCCATTTAACGACTGCTGGGCTGGAAGATTATGTGTAGTTTTCCTAGGTCTTCCTGGAGCTCACTAAGCTGACTGTGCAGGAAACTCTTGTAACTGTCTTTTTGAAACACTCAGTGCAGTTGGTGTCTTCCTACCCGGTGGCCCTGGTGGGCCCCTCGCCCATGTGGTCTTTAGGTCTCAGAGAATTGAAAGTCAGAAGAAATCTATGGCTTATCTCACTCTTCTACATCAGGTCGGTCACTACCTTTAAAAAAATACTTTATCTGGCCTCAGCCGGTGTGGCTCAGCAGATTGAGCATAGTCCCATGGACTTAGAGGTCCTGGTTTGATTCCCAGTCAGGGCACATGCGGAATTGCAGGCTCCATCCCCAATAGGGGGCATGCAGGAGGCAGCCAATCCATGTTTCTCTCTGACATTGATGTTTCTATCTCTCTCTCTCTAAAAAATCAATGAACACATATTTTTAAAAAATACTTTCTCTCTCCACTTTGTTCTCACAGCCTTGCGTGGTCTTTTTTCCTGCACTGTTGGAACAGCCTCCTAATTGGCCTACTGTTCCTTTCCAGTCTAGCCACTGCACTGCAGCCTGAGTAATTCATCTTAAATGCAGCCTGGCAACATTCCTGGCCGGAGATTCCTGTGCCTTTCCATCCCCTGCCAAGTCAAGTCCAGGCCCTGATGCCAGTGGCTGTGCCTAGCACTGGGCCCTGATTGCCTCCCCAACCTTAGCCTTGGGCCTTCTACTCCAGCCTCCAAGAAGACCTGTTTGTTTTATTTTCTTCTTAGTATACTCTCTCTACATTTCTAAAACAATTCACACACTTAGGCAGTCAGATAGCTTAGTCTCCTGGCTCCCCAGGGTTAGGAGAAACGGCAGTTTCTTGCCTCCATTGCTCCATCCCCACAGCCGGCCACTCGCAGCTGCGGCTGTTCTCCAGTGGCGACGCCTCTGTCCCCGAGCTGTGTGCTTGTGGTGCTGCTGCTCGCCTGTCCGCCCGCGAGACGAGGGCTTCGTCCGTGTCTTCGGTGGGAGGGGAGGCACCAGCCGGAACTGCCCCCAGATGCCGCCTCCCCCCACACTGCTTGCAGCCTTCCTCCCCTTTGGAGTTAGTGCACTTGGGTAGGTGGCTGCTCCTTACGTAGCTTCTTAGAAACACTACTGAGCACGATTTGTGGCTCTCTCTCTCTTTCATTTATTAATGTACTTGGGTTATGATTTTTTTTTTTTTTAATCCTCACCTGAGGACACTTTGCATTCATAGAGTGAGAGGGAGAGAGAGAGAGAGAAACATCGATATGAGAGACACATCGAGTGGTTGCCACCCACACAACCCCAACTGGGGCTGGGGACAAACTGCAATTGAGGTACGTGCCCTTAGCAGGAACCAAACCCAGGTCTCTCCAGACCACGAGCCGACGCTCCAACCACTGAGCCAAACCGGCCAGGGCTGGTTATTTTTTAATTTTTTTTATTTATCCTTACCCGAGGACATTTTTGCATTTATTTTCAGATAGAGCAGGAGGGACAGAAGGAGGAAGAGAGAGAGAGAGAGAGAAACATTGATGTGAGGGAGACACATCAACTGGTTGCCACCCACACGACCCCAACGGGGGGCCTGGGACGAACTGCAACCAAGGTACATACCCTTAGCGGGAACTGAACCCGGGACTCTCCGGTCTGTGGACCAACACTCTAACCACTAAGCCAAACCGGCTAGCGTGGTTATGGTTATTTTTTAAAGGAATGTGTGTCAAAGTTTCTTTCAACTCGTCAGCTAATGAGGGAACTAGTAAGATGTTATAACCACTGAAAGGAGAATTTAGACAACACACACACGTGATCAGGGGTGCTAAAGTGAATTTACAAATAGATGTAAAACTGGTCAATATCTACAGGGCAGTAAGCATTCCTCCAGACAAAATTAATTTTTATTTCTTTGGATAAGAAATCATTTGCCTTCCTCTTAAGATTTTTACAACCTAGAGAATTGTTGTAGCTTAAAGACAAAGGTGCAGGGCCCTATACAATTAGGTGGCGCAAGGATACACTAGGCTGCATGCCCAGTCATCTTATTTTTGGTCCATTTCAAAGCCTGTCACAGTTATTCCTGAACATCTTCCCCTTTTGGAGCATAGTGATGTCAAAGAAACGTTATTCTTGGTCACAGAAAAAGGCTGGTCTCATTAGGTTTAGTGAGCCAGCCAGAGTGTTAACTGATGGGCCATCTCGAGTTTGCTCTTGAACAACTGCTGACGTTACAAATCAACTTCTCTCCAGAAGTTTTCATCCGAAATCTCAGATTGGGCGTATAAGCCTCTATTATTGGCCGGTCGGAGGGTGAGAAACAGCCCAAGGGGCTTTCTCTGCCATATTTTTACTTGCAGTGCCTGTAATTCAGGTGAGGTGTTCTCTCGTCCAGGCTCCAAAATTACTGAGGTTCCTGACCTGCCAGCAAATGACCTTGCTGACCACCTAGGGCTATGATTTGTATACTGGGACCCCTCCATGCTGGCTTTCCTGGGAGGGCTTTGTAAATCCTGGACCCCTAAGTAAAGTCACCTCGATTCCCTACGAGCACCTTATCGCAGCTGAGCCGCTGAGAGTCTCCCTCAAACAGGCGCTCAGGTAAGGCCCTGGTCGCATGATCGAGTCATCCAGTTACGTCCTGGTTAAGGAAGAGCAGATTTCCATTGAACCTACACACATAACCACCGAAGAATGTGTTTGTTTTTCTTATTTTTAAGTATTTTTAGGAAACTGCATTAATAAAGTACCACTCTTTGTTGTGATCTTTAATTGGTAGTTTGTCATCTCGTTTTCTATCAGAAGCAGGCTCGGTACGAGAGACCGTGAGAGCGGTCTGCGTTTGTTAGGAAGCAGCTGGGTGTGACTCTGCTGGACTCCTCCTCACTGTGCCACTTGGTGTGATTCTCTTTTCCAGGTTCATATCGAGATCCACTGAGGGCCTTCCACCAGCGGACACGGCGTGTCCTCGGGCTCACCGCATTAGAGAACACAGCATGAGGGACAGAAGAGGGACTCCGGACACCTGCCTCGCAAAAGCGCAGGGAGAGGACTCGGACAAGCTGCTGTGTAGCCTTCAAGCACGAGAGAGCCTGCGCCCTCCAGGTGCACCTGCCTGGGCGAGGGGGCCTGTGCTGGATGGACTCGGAGACTCTCAGAGCGAGGAGTTACCACTGGAAGTGGAGAGAGGTCTGAGTGGGGCCAGCCCCTTGCTTCTCAGTGGCACCAGCGCGTGTGCGTACTTGAAAGAATCAGTAAGAAGAAATTCCGCTTCCACAGTGGCTCAGAGCAAGACTGGAGATCTGTTCTTGGCTCCTGCAGAAGAGTGTTTTGCTGGGGTGTCCTGCGGTGTCGAGGCTGTGGTGGGGGACCGGCGGGGAGGCTGGCCCGGGGCCACCCCCTGCCTCGGAGCGCCGTGCCGCAGAGGAGAGCCTTGGCGCGCAGGACTGCCGCGCTGCCAGCGGTCAGAGATGGGAGTTTCCGCTCTTGGGGGGAGAGGGTCTGAGCTGGAGCCGCCTCGCTGGCCTGTCCTTTCCACAGTGCTGCATGCGCATCCCGAAGTGTCCCCGAATGACGAGACAGGGTGTGATTCCCCTGGCCGTCCAGCGTGCAGGAGACGGCGGGGCGCAGGACACTGCCTCCCGGTATGAGAAGTACCTCAAATGATCGATCTGCAGTAACTGGACTTCTGGCTGTGCACGCCCTTGAAGTAGCAGGGCCATGTGCCAGTTAAGGTACACGCCGAACAATAAAAATAGTGAGATTAATTTACAAACTGCCTTGGAATGGTTTCTTTCCATTCAGTCTGATGCAAACAGTGCAGCCACGAAGTCCCTGCTCTGCTTCGTGCGTCCAGACAGACTTCGAGTGAGTGGGATTTAAACTCATGGAAAGCTGGTTAATGCGAAAGGAAATTCTGGAGCATGTTGTAAATTGTGCTTGAAAGACATTCAGGATTGGGAGACCATTCCCAGGAGAACATGAACATATCCTATATAAATATCAGATTAGACCGTAAAGATTTGACATCAAGTACTTTATAAACTTTCAACAGCCTTTCTGAAGGGCTGCTGTCCCGGATGCTGCCCTCCAGGTTATCTGATCACCTAATAGAAGTGGGTGTTTGTAAACGTCAACCCCTCTGTCCTTGCTGTGAGCCTTGCTGAGTTGATGGTGAGCTGTTACCACGTCTGCATTTTGTAGAATGATTTTGGTCTGCAGCAGAATTTGATTTCTCTTCTCACCTCCCTTTCCTCCCACTGGAAATGCGATTTTAATGGAGGCCCTACGATGGAAGTTGCAATATTACACTTACCTTTAGAATAATCCTTTCTCAAACTGGGAACCGTGTCATGTTACCTGAGACAGAAGTGTGTGTGAGACTCGGTCCCTCAAGTATTTCCCCTATGGAAGCTTCCAGTTCCTAGGAGCTGAGGTCTCTCTCACACTAATTTTTTTCTGAGATCACTCCTTTTTTGTTGTTTGATGACTTTGATAAAGGTCACTTTAAAGTGTAAGTTTTAAGGAGTCCCAAAGTCAGCCAGCCATTTCTGGGATTATGGATTGCGTATATCAGTTTATATCGTGTGCTAGATGACCATGCCATGTGCTATTTTAGTGTTTCAGGAAAATGAAAAATAAAATCTGTTCTCGAGCATAATAAAGGTCTTATTTGATGTGTACAGTCTCAGTTCATCTTGTCTTTCTCTTCACATACAAGTCCGTAGCACTGGTGGCGGGACGGCTGACTAGGGACTAGAAGCAGAGCTTGGAAAACACATCGTGAAGCCAGGTGGGAACTCGGGTCTCACCTTCTTCCCGGGACGGAGTGAAGTCCTGTTGTGTGACCCTTCGGGGTGGTCAGAGAATCCCAAAGTAAGAGTCCTGGGGAGAAAATGATGCCAGCCAGTCTAGAAGGATCCTGTCCCAACGATTGAGCAATTGAAGCCCTGGCCAGGGGACACTCCTATGAGGTCACCGATGGATTGTGAAATGAGATGAGGACACAGGTCAGTATTTTAAAACGGGAACTGTTTTCTTGTCAAGCCTTTCTCCCCACCCTCTACCCCCCCCCTTTTATTTTGTTGTTATTTAAAACTAAGTCTGCTCCTTTGGGGTAGAACTTTCCATGACTCATGAACTGTTTTATTTCCTTTGGTTTATAAACTGCAGGTATATAAATTCTCAACCAATTGCGAAGAAAAAACAAATTTCCTATTTGGCCTCAAATGCTAATTTAATAAATTTCAACTGTTTTTTATGTGGTTATATTAGAATAAGGTGTTTTTGTTTTTTTCTAAAAGAAGTATTGGGAAGTTCACAGTAATGTTTTCTTTACATTAATTCCTTAGAACACTTATACTTTGCTGACATTTTCCCTTTGGTGCTGTGCTGTGTCCAGTTCATGTTGATGGAAAGTTCGGGGTGGCGGTGGGAGGTGGAGAGGAGATAAGAGATGTATTACTTGAAGTTTCATGACTTTGCAAGAAAAGGCCTTCGATAAACATCTTTATTTTTGAGGCAGTACAGAAATAAGATATTTTGGATAAATTGTCTCATGGTTGAATTATAAAAGGAATCACTCATTAGAAATATTTTCATTTGTATCATTTTGGCAATGAAAACGAAGGGAAGCTTGTTTAAAACTTAAGTTTACATGCATTTCCCTTTTTCTGTCTTAACGGGTTCTGCTATTAAGGCTTGAATAGCACACTCACTTTAAATTTAGAAACAAAATGTTGGACTTCGTTATTTACATTTGGAAATCATAATTTCCTTTTTAAATTGGAATGAGTGTTGAGGTCTTGAAGCAATTATGAGGTTGCAAGCCTACGAAGAATAAAAAATTAAGAAACTTGCATTTAGCCCTGGCCGGTTTGGCTCAGCGGTTAGAGCGTCGGCCTGCGGTCCGGAGAGACCCGGGTTCGGTTCCCGCTAAGGGCACATATCTCGGTTGCAGTTTGTCCCCGGCCCTGGTTGGTCGTGCGGGTGGCAGCCACTCGATGTGTCCCTTTCACGTCGATGTTTCTCTCTCTTCCTCCCTCTCCCACTCTATCTGAACAAAAAATGGAAAAATGGCTTCGGGTGAGGATAAAAAAAAAAGAGACTTGCATTTAAATAGATCATTCTTATGACTATAGATTTTATAAATAGGAAGCAAGACATGTGTTTTGGAGCTTGGTGTAACTCCCAGTGTATCCTAAAATTCATTTAGACCGTTCACTATACATTTGATCCTAGAACAACCTGAGGCCCAGGGGGCCAACCCCTGCACAGTCAAAAATCTGTGTATAACCTTTGACTTTCCCCAAACTTGACTACAGTTGTCCCTCCATGTCTGAGGGGGATTGGTTCCAGGACCCCCTTCTCTGCAGATACCCAAAGCTGGGGATGCTCAACTCCCTTATATAAAATCGCATAGAGCAATGTATCAGTCAGCCCTCTGCATCCATGGATTCCCAACCGTGGGTCAAAAATAGTATTTTCTATCCATAGTTGGTTGAATCCATGGATAGGAAATCCAGGGGTATGGATTGTAGACTATACTTTTGGAAGAAACAAACAAACAAAAATCCGTGCAATTCAAGCCATGTTGGAAAAGACAGAAAAGTCTTGTCAGCCTATTTCTCTGCTCCACGGTGTCTTAGAAAAGCCCAAATGGGGAGGGAGCCATGTGACGGGAAAATGCGTGGAGCTTCATGGTGAAGGCTGCAGTTCTGGGAAAGCTGGGGACGAGACGGGTGCTCAAGAGGAGTAAGCTGATGGATATGAGCCCCTACTCCAAGGATCTGTTAAAAATTCAGTCCTTTAATGGGGACAAATTTAAACATCTCATTGGGGGCGAGGCGGGGAATGGTTGGTTGAGTTGGGAGGGTGTGGCAGCCCTGCAGACCAGACCTCACAGCTTCAGAGCACCCGCCTGGTGGGTGGTCCGAGGAGCCCTTGAGCGCTGTGCTTGCTTCTGGAAACAGATCAGTTACTCAGCGAAGCTGGAGCAGGCGTCGCTGGAGTTTTGCTCTGGTTGGATTTTGAACAGCTCTTTACAGTTCATTTAAAAAACTGTTTAGGGCCCTGGCCGGTTTGGTTTGGCTCAGCGGTTAGAGCGTCAGCCTGCGGTCTGGAGAGACCCGGGTTCGGTTCCCGCTAAGGGCATGTACCTCGGTTGCAGTTTGTCCCCGGCCCTGGTTGGGTCGTGTGGGTGGCAACCACTCGATGTGTCCCTTCACGTCGATGTTTCTCTCTCTCTCTCTCTCTCCCCCCCCCCTCCCACTCTATCTGAACAAAATACCTCGGGTGAGGATAAAAAAACAAAACAAAACTGTTTAGGTACGTACCAATGGAAGGAATCTTTCTAGGGTTGCTATGCCTCACCACAGTCTTCACAGAGTAGAATTCTCTTATAAACTGTTGAATGCTTTCAAGCTTTTTCTAAGGCAGTGGATTTACCCTTTCCCCTGTCTGCCTACCAAGAGTTCTGTGTCTGCGATCAGAAAACAAATGCGTAATTGGAAGATTGGGAAACGACTCCCTTTCCTAACTCTTTTTGTTGTTGTTGTTAATCCTCATCCGAGGACATTTTCCCATTGATTTTTAGATAGTGTGGAAGGGAGAGGGAGAGGGAGAGAAACATGGATGTGAGAGAAGACACATCGACTGGTTGCCTCCTGCACAACCCTGGGGACCAGGATCAAACCTGCAACCCAGGTAAGTGCCCTTGACTGGGCATTGAACCCATGACCCTTCCATCTGTAGGCCAACACTTCAACCACTGAGCCAAACTGGCCAGGCCTGTTTTCTCACTCTTAAAGCTTATCCTCTGTTACACTTCAGTTCACAAGCACTCGGCACTGCTGTTGATTTAAGATGACTTGGAGAAAGCAGCATGACTGTTCTTTTGATGTTAGCGGCTGTATTAGTCAAGATTCTCCCGAGAAACAGAACCTATCATATATAGGTAGATGGATAAATGGGTAGACAGATAGATACAGATGTGAGATGTATTATAGAAGTTGGCTCACACGATTACAGAGACCACCACGTCCCAGATTTGGGCACCAGCAAGCTAGAGACCCAGGCAAGTTGGTGGTATAGTTCAGTCCAAGAACCAGGAGTGCCCGTGTCCACGGACAGGAGAAGATGGATGTCTCAGTTCCAGCAAAGAGAGAGCAAACTCACCCTTCCTGGGCCTTTTTGTTTCTTTCCGACCCTCAGCAGGTTGGACAGTGCCCACTGGCTTTGCTGAGGGCCATCATCTTTACTTAGTCGACTGATCCAAGTGCTCATCTCTTCTGGAAACAGACGCACCCAGAAGTATGATGGACCAGGTATCTGGGTGCCCCTCAGCCCAGTCAAGTTGACATGAAATTAACCATCCTGGGTGCATAGCTGCCTCTCTTCAGCTGAATTCTCGGGTGTCTTGAAAAGTCTTTGGTGAGCCCCGGCCGGTTTGGCTCAGCGGTAAGAGCGTCAGCCCATGGACCAATGAGTCGCAGGTTAGATTTCGGCCAAGGGCAGGTACCTGGGTTGTGGTTCGTCCCTGGCCCTGGTTGTGCGGGAGGCAACCAGTCGATGTGTCTCTCTCACGTTGCTGTATCTCTCTTCTTCTTTCTCCCTCCCACTCTATCTGAACAAAAAAAAGGGAAAAATATCCTCAGGTGAGGATTTTTTAAAAAAGTCTTTGGTGGACATCTAAAAGAATAGCATCCCTAGGACATAGCACCAATTTTTGTCACGAACACCCTCCCCAGGACTTGATAATGACCCACACCTGTTCAGAAAAACCTACTGGATGAGGGTGATCTGAAAAAAGAGGGGGGGGCTGGCTTATTTTAAAGCGGGTACTTTGTTCTGTGTGTGGCAAGTCCAAACATACATGTCTGCATTCACTCAGAAACTGGGAATGCAGTCGAGAAGGCAACGTGTTCGGTTTCCACCATGTGCCTTGGGGAGAGCAGGGGTCTTCACCCCCTGCATCCGGGTGAGTGGCAGGCAGGGCTCACTGTCCAATCAACGTTCCCACGTCCTACTCCACTGTGTAAGGTCAAGGTTTAGCAGTTCGTGGCTTTGAAAACATTTAGTCTTTTAACTTTTTTATTTTCCTAATCCTCTCCTGAGGATATTTTTCCATTTATCTTCAGATAGAGTGTGAGGGAGAGAGAGAGAAAAAAAAAAAATTGAAGTGAGAGAGACACATTGACTGGTTGTCTCCTGCACAACCCGGACAAGTGCCAGGGACCGAACTGCAACCGAGGTGCGTGCCCTTGACTGGAATTGAACCCGAGACTCTTTGGTCCACAGGCTGCCGCTCCAACCACTGAGCCAAACCGGCCAGAGCTGGCTTTGAAAACATTTAAACATTTGGAGTTTCTGTTAGAATCAGCTTCCGCCCTCCTGACTCCCAGTTAGGGATTCTCTATCAAGAATAACGCCCTGGCCAGTTTGCTCAGTGGTTAGAGCATTGGCCTGCGGTCCAGAGAGACCCGGGTTCAGTTCCCACTAAGGGCACGTACCTCAGTTGCGGTTAGTCCCTGGTCCTGCGGGTGGCAGCCACTCGATATGTCCCTTTCACGTCGATGTTTCTCTTCTTCCTCTCTCTCCCTCCTGCTCTATCTGAATAAAAAATGGAAAAATGTCCTTGGGTGAGGATAAAAAAAAAAAAAAGACTATCAACCAGACTCCTCCCTTTGGTTTTGTGTAAATACTGTGTACAGATGGTCCCTGATATGAGGTTGCTTCACTTAGGATCTTCTGACTTTACCAGGCTGCAAAAGCCACACATGTCCGAATTTGGGGTCTTGATCTTTCCCTGGGTTAGCGACATGCTTGCGATAATCTCTGCTGATGCTGGGCAGCGGCAGCGGGCAGGGCCCCAGGGTCAGCCCCCAACCAGGAGTGAACAGCCGAGAGCTACAGCCTAGCATTCAATGCATCTTCGCCTTAGGATATTTTTAACTTACCACGGGTTTGGCTGCCACAGGTCACCCCATTGTACATCCAGGAGCATCTGTGT